TAACATGGTTTTCCCATAATGGTCATCATGGCAGCAGCACCCAAAATTGTGTTTTCTTCTATTCTGATGCCATATTACAAAATGGTTAACAGCATAATGACCGTCAATTTTTAATAATAAAATATACGTATCATGGATTTTCAGAAAATGTGACTAGCATGGGTCTTCAAGCCCGTGGAACTTCAAAGTCACACCTTGAAAATGCCAATATGTGAAAAATTAAATTTTCACAAAATAACTGTTTAACTGGCAGTAAGAATTACCAAACAGACTGTATTTCCTACTGAAGCTGTATTTTAGTCCCATGTTTCTTTCCTGTAAGTTTGAGAACCAGTAAATGACATGGTTTTTCTTATATGGTCATCATGGGAGCAGTGCCTAAAATAGTTTTTTTTTTTAAAAATTTGATGCAATATTACATAATGTTTAACAGCATAATGACCATCAATTTTAATAATAAAATATTAGTATTATGGATATTCAGAAAATGTGCCTAGCAAAGGTCTTCAGGCCCATGGAACTTCAAAGTCACATCTTGAAAATGCCAAAATGTAAGTGAGACAGCACTGTTCTGAAATGTTTTTTTTTTCCCATTTTTAACAATTTCAACATAAAACAAAATAAACAGTTTTCTGCCGTTTTTATATGATCAACTAAGAAAATTGATGAGATGGGAAAAATAACAACAGAGCAGTGTTAAATGTCCAATTTCTTCCATTCTGAGATTCTGAACATAGTGAATGATTGAATCTGACAAACTGCAATGATATGGGTTTATTTCCATTTTTGAAACTTTATTACACAATACACGATAACAAGTTTACCATCATTTTTACATAATCAACTAGTAATGTGGTAAAGATGCAGGAAATGCCAAACAAACACTTTTACTTATCTTATTAGTACAATAATGAAACTGTTTACATGCCTAAGAATTGAATCTGAGGAAATGTGAAAAAACTGCTTTTTTTTAAAATAATGGCCCGATTATGCTGATTTTTGAACTCAACCTGCGTTTTAGCAGGAATGACCACTCCTGTAAGTTTAATGACAATTCGCCTATCTGTTTTTCTTATATTGTGTTAACAGTGTTGCATATATGCTGAAAAGTGAAAAAAAAAAGCATAACTACTAAAATAGTGGCCCGATCCTGCCGATTTTCGAACTTGACCTGCGTTATAGTAAGTTAGATTACTCCTGTGAGTTTCATGACAAAAAGCTTATCAGTTTTCCTTGAAATGTGTTTACAGTGTTGCATATATGCTGAAAGGAAAAAAAAAAACAGCATAACTTCTACAATAATGGCCCGATCATGCTGATTTTCGAACTTGACCTGCATTTTATGAATATTCATCAGCCCTGTAAATATACAGCCAAAAAGTAAAACTGCCTTCCACTTATCGTGTTTACAATGAAAGTGCATGGCGCCGGCGACAGTGACAGTGACAGCAACGACGGCGACGACAGACACATCTGTGTCTGTACATAAAAAAATTAATTTCATCTGTTTTAGGATAAACAATACAATGCTCCAACATAACAAGAAAAAACTTTCAAATTGGACTACAGTAAACCTCTTTATAAACAGTATGGCATGCATCACAGGTTAAAACCTAGGGTGGTTTTATTTCAATAAATAAAAGTAAACCGAGTATAAGAATATGTAGTTATTCAATATTTATACTTAACAGGGCTACCTAATATATTATCATTTCAATTATCCAATCATTTGCTTTATTCTTGAGAATTAAGAAAAGCTGTAGCTGAATCTGAATGTCAGTGAAATCACACCCAACCTGATTTTTAGGTCAGGATCCCATGGAAAATATAGATGCTTTAGATATTTTAAGTGTGACATTTAATATGTTATGCTGATGATCATTTCATAAACAAAGTGAATTCTGAAAATAGGGCATTTTATAAAATAACGTCACTGGGTGTCAATTTTCCAGGCTTAGATACCAAACCCAAAACCTTTTAGCAATCTTTTTTAACTCCAGTGATATTTTATGGTCATTAAGCCTTATGCACTATGTCAAAGCATTTAAAGATTATTGATAAAATACAAAACAAACAAATAACACCCTTAAGTAAAGCTTTTAAAAAAATCATAAATTTTAACACTCCTCTGTCCTATATTTTAACCTGAACACATTTCAGAATGATTTTATTACATATATTAGAACTACACAAATAAATAAAATACTCAGTTAACATATCATCTGGTTGTAATTGTTAAATATTCACTTCTGTAATAATTTTGCCATTTCTAGTTCAAATTTAGTTTATGCACAAAACATCAGGTAACATAATGGCACTTGAAAAAACAATCAAATCATGAATTCACAAATAACACTGATCTATCAAATATTCCTAACCACTGAGGTCCCCATTATCAGAAATTGGAACTTTTGATTGATTTGAAAATTTCATATATTCAGGACACAATTACCACACATTTGTTTGACTCCACATTGAAGGCTAACACAGGGTACATATTACCCATGCACTTAGTAAAGACTTAAACATTTCATTGGCTAGTTTGTGAATGGACACATACCAATTTTTTATTGCTTACGTGTAGGTTTTGCACTGTGGACAAGTTTTCTGCCCATAATTTCCAGTCCATAATCAAACATGTAGTATGAAGAAACACTGAGGATGAGACGTTATAAATACCTGTTCCATAAGGCATCTTTTGTTTTCTCAGTTGCCACACTAGATCATTAGTAGCCTCCAGTTCATCTGAAGCATATCTGTCCAGCCATTCTGTGTAGTACTGCAAATGTTGCAAGTGTCTGCTCACCTAGCAGAATTAGAGACTTTGTATTTTTAGAATGTGTTGTTTGTATCACTCTGAAATATTTATATACATTATGTGCACACAAATTATTCAAGGTGGGAGAAGAAAGTAATGTGCACTAGTAGATCATGACACCTGTGCAATGTAAAAGCACAGAAGCATGGTATAAGAATAAAGCAGCACTGGTATATTGTTAGTACTCTGGAATTTTCATTTATTTAAAACTTTGTGAATCAACATCACAATGTTCTAAACTAAAATTAATTTAACTGCACAAACTAGAATATTTCTTAGTTCACTTATCTGGCTTTTTTGTACCTTAGCAGCACTGTCACTATTGGCTGAGGCCAAGGCAGTTGCCAGCTGCAGCAGAGGTCTAAACTGCAGAGGGAAATAACAACACACAGCTTGAAACAGAGGGCCAATGCCTTCCTGGAGGCCCTGAAATAACAGAAAACATCAAATTTCATTTGCTTCAGTGCATGTTAAATGATATAACAACCATTTGGATAATGACAGATCACAGAATAACAAGATTGTTGTCTAATATAATATATTTATTTTTGTAATACATCCCACAATACTACAATGAACATTTGATGCCATCAAATGTCACCTTAGAAAGCAATACATAATACATAACAAGCAAAACACAGAAAGAAGACTCACTTGACCTTGACATTTATGCAAACACAGATGCTTGACAGGTTGTAAAAAGAGTAAAATTGAGACAGGAGACACAAATTTCCCACCTGAAAATCATATTTGTTAAATGGATCTTGATGATAAATGTGGAGAATGCTTGGATGAAATCTCTGGAGTGTGTACAATAATGGGACAGATAAGAAAATGTCATCCAGTCACTTTTCAGAAACTTGGTCAGGGATTGCATGTACCATGGATAAGGTCCTGTGGTGTCATATCACCTGCTACAAGGCATTTATAAACAAGTGCTGGCTTGACATGGCTTCAACAACCTGTAGGCAGCTAGGTGGGGCTGGGAAAAGGTCCACTCTGGGTAAATTTGATCTAGGTAAACAAAGGTTTCATGACAAAAGACCCGCATTTTCAGAAAAAAAAAAACCTTTTGCAATTGCTGGCTACAGGCCTCTTTGGGCTATCTCAGATTATACATCATTCATGTTTTATCACTCTTAACTGCCTACCTTATCCCAAAAATCCTCTGCCACGCATGTCTGGGATAGAACTTTGGCAACAATGTCATACAGGGCCTGAGAAGTAAAAAAATAATAATAATATCAATTAATTTATATAGCGGCTTCAAAATAAGTTAATATTGGTATCTAAATTAGCCTATTGTTGGATAAACCTACTGTGTGTGTGTGTGTGTGTGTGTGTGTGTGTGTGTGTGTGTGTGTGTGTGAGAGAGAGAGAGAGAATGTGTGTGTATGTGTGAAGTTTGATAGTTCAAAAAAGTCTTATGCTCATTGCCAAGTAAATAAATAGAGAAATAGAGAAAAAGAAAAAGAACAGTGACTGTTGCACCCTATATGTTTAAAATCACATTTCAAAGGTCTTCTGTCTTCTGGCATGGGTCTTCCAGAAAACAGTCAGAATATTTCAAATTTGCATTGATGGGCATCTTTTCTATCTAAAGACAAAAATGGAGGATGGATCAACAAAATTAATTTGGAAGACTGTAAAAAAAAAATAAATAAATAAATAAATTGAAAAAGCCAATATGTGTCAGTGAAAATTCATAAAAAACTGCAAATTTGCTTCTAGAAGAGAATGCAGACTGGTGTCCAACTCAAGCTGCATTTCAGTCCTATGAATCTTTTCAGTAAGTTTGACAATCACAAGTAACATGGTTTTCCTTAAATGGCCATTATGATGACAGTGTTCCAAAAAGAATTTCCTCAATTTTGATGCAATATTACATAATGCTGACCATCAATTTCATTAATAAAATATAAATATAAGGGATATTCAGAAAACGTGACTAACAAAGGTCTTCAGACCCACGGGACTTCAAAGTTACACCTTGAAAATGCCAATATGTGAAAAATTAAAATTTCACAAAAAACTGAAAAACAGAAAAACTGGAGGATCAAAGAGGTGATACTGCCTCCGGGTATTGTACCACCAGCTTGAGTAAAAGCATTCATTTTTCCATTTGTATCCTCTTGGAAAACATCAAACAAGACAAAAGCCAGAATTAAGATGCCAATGAAGAACATAAATGTGAAAATAAAACCTAAAATAGCCTGTAGTCCAAGATTTGTTAACAATGTTGATGGCCATTTTATTATTTTGTTTAACTCAAGAATTAAATGTTACACTGTATAATACAACACAACTTGATTCTTATATCTTCTTTGTAACTGTTTAGGAAGTCTGATCACTTCACCAAAGTTTTTTTATAGAAAATCAAACATTAACAAAATTATGAGACAACATATTTAGGGAGCTGTGTATTTACAATCACTGGCAATTGAAGTTTTTCACCTCTCTCTCTCTCTCTCTATATATATATATATATATATATATATATATATTTATATATATATATATACCTCAGTGTCTCCCAGCGTGTCCTTCTCAAAGGTCTTCAGTACAATAGTTAACAGTCCATACACTATGGAATGGCTCATCTCAGACAACTGAAATAATGATCAAACAATAAATGCCATTTATGTAGACTAGTCCTTCATACTACAGAGTGTAATGAACCTTTTACATATGCCTATGACGTATGTCCTAAACTTACATAATTTAGAACGCTTAATTCAAGCGTGGGCTCGAAATAGGACATTACGTTTTAGACTAACTTAGTGGATAACGCAATACAAAGACTCCACAGTTCGTGTCAGATTTACGTAAGGTCGTGCAAAGAAAACCCAAGTCCACATAATGACCAGTTAAATGATTTATTCGTTGACACTAGGTAACTACATATTCTAAGTGAAGCCTCCAACTCTTAACGCGTCAGCTCCGTACTCCGTCGCTTCCAATCTCCTCCTCCGCTGCTTCCTTCTACATCTCTGTCGTACAACCCCGTTCAATTCTCATCACTTACTTTAAATATTATTTTGTTATCTTTACATGGATCCAGTGCTGCACTAGTATGAGATGTACGTCATACATAATTACCTTTATTGTATAATTAATTTCTTTACTCCGGCGTCATACATAGAGACCGCCGCATTACTCAAAAGCTATTGCACTATAACACATTACGTCATATTACTTCGTACGATCTTTATGTCGGACCCGACAAGAGATACATATAGTACAACCTGTAAAATATAATACATATATAAAATATAATGGAAAAGTATCCTCTCCTCTCTTTCTCTCTCTCATAGACACCCACACATATAATTAAAATTTTCAAAACAGAAAATAATATATAATTCCAATCTTATCAGGTATATCAGCTCCAAGGGTTGGTATGGAAGTTTTTTCAGTCCTAATAAAATCATGTGCAATCTCACTCTTGGTTTCACACCATAGTTTAAAATGAATTGTATGCATGCATGTATGTATATATGTATGTATGTATGTATGTAAGTAAGTTAGTAAGTAACTAACTAACTAACTAACTAACTAACTAACTAGCACCAAGATGGTCTGAATCTGAACTTCAGATCAGAAAGATTAATGATCTAAGTTATCTTATTTAATACTTGTCAACATTGACAATTTAAGAGAGGTAGATTTCCTTGTGTGCACTTTGTCTCCCACACACACACACACAACTTTATCAGAACTTTATATCAAGTCTTTCAATGTTTGACATGCAATATATCTATACAACATATCTAGTAAAGTGCCATAAGCAGATTTACAACTTAGCTGTAGCAACAGCCTGTTTTCATCAATAATTGAAACAAGTTAATTCTTGCACTGTGACATTACAGTGTCCATCATGTCGCTTTCATCAGTGATAGTACAGTATTAAGACCAACATTAAAAGGTTCCTTTAAACTTTCTTTCAACTTTTAAAAAGTGCAAGTTCATGCATCAGGAACTGAGCAAACAAAAGAAACCAGGGGAGATATCATGCCTACCAAACTACCAGACGTGGTACCTTAGGTTCCAGAATTCACCAGTAGATCAGATTGCACTACCAATTTTGAAGGTGTGTATCAGTATGCATTTCACAGTATCATACCCCTGGAGAAATTTTGTTCAATGACCTGTCCTACCTGTCATCTGGGTATTGCGACTCATTTTCATCAAGTAGTAGTCATAAGAATACAATAATATGGCAACAGGTGATTTTGAATTATTTTTTATTATTTATTATTTAAACTGTAAATTACTTTCATCTTGTAACACCAGCAGAAAACCCTCATCATACATGTTTGCTCCGTGAAACACATCCATCCCAGTGGCCATGAAAACTTCATTTAACCCCTATGCCTCCCCTGACAGAATTAGATCTACCATACTAAATTAATATTAAAAGATTGCACCTAGTTATTTGAATAACTTCGTGGCTATGTTCAAACTTGAACTTTTTGGTAAAAGATCACAGTATTGTACGATTTATTACATAAAACAGAAACTAGAAGAAGCACATGAATTTTGATGAGATGCACTACTTTCCAACCCCATACAGAATCATCGCTACCACATTGCATACCAGGCGAGAAGGTGACGCAACTGATACTTCAAAGCACGTACTGATACACATCTTGAAAACAGATAGTGCGATCTGATCAATGTGAATTCCAGATCATGCGGTTCCCTGTCTGGATACTATCTTAACTGTCAATTTAGAAAGACATGGATGTCCGACACCTATGATCACCTATCATTAGACACATTTAAAAGGTGTTTTATCTCTGTCTGGGGTAGCGGTAACACTTCACAATTTCACCAAATGCTAACACTGACTTTGACTAAACAAAATAGGGTCGATTTGACTTGTTTTAATCCAATTTAAACCACTTGGAGAAAAAAGTGATTAAAAAGAAGTGATTTGGCTAAGTGAAAAAAATTGTAAGCACTATCCTAGCTTGTTCAGATGCAATTGGCTTCAACCCTTCATTTTATACAAAGCCCTGAATCCTTTGTAAATTAATTCCCACCTTGTTGACTTTGACAATCAGGTACCCAACAATAATGAAGCATGTTTATAATGATTTTCAGCAGTAGTCTCAAATACATTAACAAAATAGCAGTGGTAGGACTGAAAGTGCAGTACAGCGACATCTGGCGCCAAAAGGGCCGATATACCCCATAGTAGTCTATTAATCTTTCTCAGTGTGCAAATTCATAATGCCGATATAACAGTCCGAAAACTTACTGCTTTATCATCAAACACTTCCATCCCTAGAGCTGCAGACAAATATCTGAAGACATCCAGCTGAAGTGCATGGTTTCCCAGTCTCTTAGAAAGGCTTTCACTTTCATATCCTACTGACAGATGGCTTATTACTGACCATGCTAATAAGATAGGTCCATGGTGCACACTCTCCCCTAAAGTTTTTACATGTGTCTCAAATTCCTGGAAATAAAAGTATTGTAATTATAGTGACTACAACCAAAAGGGCAAACAATAAAATAGATTTTAAATCTTAAGCTTAGTCATTTTCATATTCAAATAATAACATCATCCAATGGGCTAGCCACTAACCTCCCCCAGGCCAGACTAGGCATGCAGATTTTAAATATGAGCAGGCAATTGCAATCTCACCCAGGCCACACTGAAATTTCAACCTGGCTGAGGGAGTTTCAAAATTTGCCAATACAAGATCGAAATTCAAATCATAGATAATTAAAAATTATTAACAGATTAATCCCTAAACAATGCAGCAAAGCTGTCAAATATACAGTAAACAAGAATAATCTTATCAAGCTGGTTTGCCTATTTGAACTGTATGTCAAACATTCTTGTAAGTTACAAAATAATTTCAGGAACACAGTTTTCATTTAAGTTTAGCAGTAGTACACAATATATATATTTTTAATCAATTTTGATGTAATGTCAATTTTATTAATTGGGAGCAAAATGATTGTTTACAGACATGAAATGCTTACTAATTTGGGGATCAAATATGCCACAACGGACTTGAAAGCAAGCTGAGACTTAATTGCTCTGTTCCTGCTAGGATGGCATTACATTACTCTTAGGGGTTTATCAGCTTGTTTCCCAGTGCCACCATACATGACCTGTGGACAAGTAAGTGGATTAGAAATAGTGGCATCAGCCAAGATCAAGGGAGTTTCATATGCAAAGGTGCATATTAAATTTCTACTGGAATTGGTGGCCATCTTGCATATTTAGAGTTCCCCAAGTGACAACCCCGCAAATTTTACTCTATAGCCCCATAGGAGCCAGAATCAAGAGAGAAACTTTACAGGAACATACATTTCTAGGTCCATGTAATCGAGGCATGGGAGTAACTACTCCACTAATAAATTGTATAACTAAAATGGCTTTATTAGGGATGTGATTTATCTATTTATAATCTAAAATTGTCTGTGACTTGGATTTAACCCTGGCCTATGCTGATTTACATTCTGCCTTGACAAGAATGAACTTTCAACTCCCCTTCATATAAAAGCAGATTTTAAATCTGCCTAGGCAAATGTATCCTAACATTATAATTTTGTGGCATATATATATATTCTAACATTATAATTTTCCTATGCTATCAAAACAAAAATGATGGATATTTAAAGTTATAAAACATCACACAAACATGAGCTTACCTGAGTAACTCTGCTTTCTGACAACACATGATGACGGCTGAAACTGAGAACGAGAACACTCAAATATATAACAATTTGGACACATGCTATGTCACATAATTCCTTTAAAGCTCCATGAGAAGAGAGAGTAAATATGACATATAGTATTGTGCCAAACACTTAAACCCATGCAATCTGATCAAAAAATTATTTTCTAGAATTTTTTTTCTGGGTGAAAGTATTTAAAACAAAAGTCAAAATCTGATTTTTTTTAAAGGTTTTATTGCTGTATTTTTATCAATTTGACTAAAATGATCTTTCTTTGAAATTAATGTTAATTAATTTTGGTCGAACTGTTTGGCACATTACCATATATTATGAATTAGAAAAAAAAACTTTTTTACACACATACACATGAGAAAATCATGCTTCATAGATATGGGCACTATTGTCAAATGTTGGCCATATGATGATTTTGGAGTACAAGTATAAAAAAATTACTTCAAATTCCAACGAAAAGCCTTCAAAAGTAAAAATAAATATGTCACCTTAGCGTGCTTTATAATACCCTTACACATATACATAAGAAAAGTGTACTAAACATTAATTTGATGGTTTTTAATTTATCAACAATTTAAAAGTTGAAATTCACATGCAAAAATTCTTCAATTACTTCTTGTGCTTGGTTGGACTGTCCAACTCAATGGGGAAAATAGCAAAGGTCAAATTTAAAGTCACAGTAAGATTGCCAAATATGCCAATTCCTATTCAAGATTAATGGTAACTGGGTGTATCTCTGCCAGTTTTGGAGACATAAGGGCTGTAAAATTGCAAAGTACAGTTCACCGTAAAAAGTTGGCCAAAGGTCAAATTAAATTCCACACTAAGACTGCCAATACATGATTTCTTATTCAAACTAAATAGTAGCATAGAGGGAAAACTGGAGAAAACCCATGTTATTGAGTTTTCTGTATGTTTACAATTATTAAAAACTGACAGATGGCAATAAAAGTTACCCTCATTGTTAAACAGTTTGTGAAAGTAAAATTGTTTGTTTGCATGATATCACCTTTTGAGGAGATCAGTTTATTGTAATATGGAGTAATTTCATGTGTAAGACGATGAAAACCCAACTTAAAACAGTAATTTGAGAGCATTTCATGGTATTATTTTCAAGTGCTTTCACCCAGCTCTTTATTGCCATTTCAATTATTTTGATAGCTGTCCTAGTGCTAGTGAAAATCTGAAAACTATTTTGGTGTTTTTCCCTCTAAAATGAAACTACAGATTCACTTGTTGGGGACTGCACTTAATTTCTATATTTTATTTTACTAAATTTAATTTTTACAACAGCAATAACAGTTGCATTCTTGCTTTAATTTCACCACTTTCCCTTACCCCATTAACATACCTTTTGATTCAAGCAAACATGTATGCCACAGAGATGCTGGTTATAAAAACAAACATTATGTGTGTATTATTCAAAATAGTACTTACTCATTATCTTCCATGCAGACATAGAAGAACTCCAAGTCCAAGCCTTCTAATATCAAAAGAACCTGAAGGCCACTGAAACAAAATCATATACCAATATTATATCGCTTATTGTTAATATTTGCTTGCAAAGAAAGACTTTTCAAGTCACAATTCAATTCTCTTTTACAATGAATTTCAAAGTGTCAAAAACATTATCAAAGTATATAGTTATAAGGTTTCTTTCCCAACTTTTTCCTCACCCTATACATTCAACTGCCAACTCTGTTGTCTCATCTAGGAGATGTTTGTTGAGCTGATGACGACCAAACCCCTGATCCTAATTTGTGGAAATAAATTTAATATATTTATTACTACATAAAATACAGGTTAATCTGGTAAACATATACAGGTGTGATTTTGTGGTATGGTAAATCAGTACTATGGAATATTAAGGATACTAAAATCAAACTTAGAAGAGGATTACGTGAGTTACAGACTAGCTAGACGACATTGCAAGAGAACAGTCAAAGCCGCCAAGGAACGGACATGGAAAGAATACAGAGAGAATTTGAGTGAACTGGCTAAGAAGTCATCTCGGCAATTCTACAAAAGTGTAAAAGCAATGAGGCTACACGATGAACCATTTAGCCCGACAACAGTTATAAATGACAAAGAAGAAAACCCTCTTAATGAAATAAAAAGTACAAGGCAGCAAAGCTGTCAAATGTACAGACAAAAAACAGAAAATAAAGATGCAAAAAAGGTCATTTTGTTAATTTTGATGCAATAATAAATAATGCTTATAATAGCACTATCAGTCAACACTGAATTTTATAATCATGCACAACAGGTAAAATGGTCAATAACATGAGCGGACCCAGAGATATTCTCTGACAGTATTCCAAAGTATCTATGTTGATCCATCCTNACAACGGGAGATCATTATTTTAACTCCCTGTAAATTTTTAGGGGCCGTAGCGATAGTCCGAAGGTTCAATAGTCCGAAGGTGCATGCAACAAACGTTCCCAAGTGCGTAATTTTTTTTAACATATCGTGTCCAGGTTATGATGCAAGGTTGCAATTAGGCTTATCTTGATCCTTCTCCTCTATCAGGAGATATGTTTCTTACGGAGAAAATAATTCTCAACATGTTTTCGGGTACAGTAAGTTAAATATAACTTAATCGAGATGCACTTATAAATAGATTATTATTTACCACCAGAAAATGACTTAGGAAGTAGTAATAAATATCCCACCATATAGGAGGGTCAAAGATAACAGTCGCTAAGGATAAAAGCCCAAAGGCCCGATTTTTGAAAATTTCGTCATGCCCAGGAGTCGGGGAGAGGTAATTTTGAAAAATCAGTCGGATTTACACAATTAAAAATATTAATTAATTTTTAAGCGACGAAATTTTCAAGACTTTACCGTAATCTGGTAAACATATACAGGTGTGATTTTGTGGTGTGGTGAATCAGTACTATGGAATATTAAAGATACTAAAATCAAACTTAGAAGAGGATTACGTGAGTTACAGACTAGCTAGACGACATTGCAAGAGAACAGTCAAAGCCGCCAAGGAACAGACATGGAAAGAATACAGAGAGAATTTGAGTGAACTGGCTAAGAAGTCATCTCGGCAATTCTACAAAAGTGTAAAAGCAATGAGGCTACACGATGAACCATTTAGCCCGACAACAGTTATAAATGACAAAGAAGAAAACCCTCTTAACGAAATAAAAAGTATAAAAAGTAGATGGCAGGAGTATTTCGATGGTCTGCTCAACCCAAGAAATCAAGATAGCATATTGCACCAATTTCATCCAAGTTACCCAGAAGAAGAAAATCCAATAACTATAGAAGCAGAGCTAAGAAAAGCACTTAAGACAATCCCGAAAAATAAAGCTGCTGGGGTTGACGGCATCACAACTGAAGCCATTCTAGCCTGTAGTGAGATAGGAATCAGTTGGGTGACAAGTATATTCCAAAAAGCATGGTTAGAACAGAAGGTCCCAGACGACTGGCAATGTGCCATCGTTGTACCAATCTGGAAAAAGAAAGGAAGCAAGAAAGACTGCAACATGTATAGAGGCATCTTCCTTTTGAGTCAAACAGGAAAAATATATGCAAAAATCTTGGAACAACGCATGAGGTACAAGGTAGAACCATTTCTGAGTGATGCACAGATGGCTTTTAGAAAAGGAAGAGGGTGCACAGACGCTATATTCACCCTAAGACAGTTGAGTGAGAAGGCAATAGAGTACAACAAAGAGCTAAACATAGTATTTGTAAACTCTTCACATCAGGAGGCGAGAAAAAGACAAAGGGACAAAGACAAGGAACCAAGAGGGTAGCATGCACGTGTTTTTGAAAGTCACAACGTCAGGTAAGTAAAGTACAAGTTAAGTTAGTTTGTAAGTTTATTTGAAGCTCTAACATGTGATTGTGCACATGAGTATTACGTAACTCCCATGTGAAGTGACATTGGTACTATATTCAATATGTATTCATTACTGTATTATGTAGATGTATTCATGTCACAGACTCGCAAATTTATTTACAGTAGACTTCTCTCAATGTCATCAAGTTATATCTCTTATTATTGTTTATCTCAAAGAAATCTTATAGAATGGACTTAGTCTTTGGTACTAGCTGCATAGATCACTCAGAATTCTTCCTTCAGAATCTAATTAATAAGAAAATGAAGTTGCTCAAAGAGCATAGATTAAGGACTAAAACGATAATAAGATTCCCAAATTTTGTCCATGTCTTTGCCTGTATGAATTCATGAAATATGGTTATTCACTGGAACTAGTATGTATAACAACGAAAACTCAATATATTATTTTTTTTTCAGACATGTTCATGTTTATGTGTATAATAAAGGCCATAAGGAAACAAAGTCATTGTGTTCTTAAGCAAGCACAGGTACGCCAAGGTAAAAAAGCGTCCATCCACTTTTGGTTGTTTTTCTTTTGATTTTTCCTCAAAAATTGACAGCCATATTGATAATTGCTCAATCCCTTGGAAGTAGAAACTGAGCTAATTTTACCCTTCTAGCCTTAAAGAATGCATTTCTATAATAAAAATTCACAGGAAAGAACATTGCAGGATTCGACTTTTGGACCTATGGGAGTGAGTGGATATTCGTCATTTTGTACTGTGCAATATCACAGATGTTCACAGTGAGTTTATGTTTTTTATCCGTATTTATGATGTCACATTAGCTCTGGTAAATTTTGGAGGTGCCTCCTATCCAAAATTGACAAACACCTAATAGTGGTCATTCATTGTGGAAAGTTTTCATGCCTTTATCAACTTTTGCACAATTCAAGAAAAAATTTGGGCTTGGCCACCTAACCAAATCTGCTTCACATAAAAACTGTAATCCGCTTTTCCTCTTTGTCAATGGTATTTGCCAAAATTTTAATGCCTTTGTTCTTACAGAAATATTTCTTGACACACATAAATCAAACATTTCCTACAGCATAACAATCAAAGCTCTCCTCTTGTTCATATTTCTTTCTAATAAGAACAATGTTGTGCATGCTTAACAGAGAGTACAGTTGGTGAAAGGCTGTCATTATCAGTGTGAAGGCAAAGGGAATGGGTTTACTTGAAACATTCTCATAGGATTAACTGGACCTTGATATACTTGGTAGTGTGAATGAGCCCAAATAGAACAAGATGATCAGTGGATCAAATATGGTCGACTCACTAAAAGGGTAACACCTTATAATCCCCTGATCGTCTCCCTGCCTCCACAAACCGTGTTGGGGCCTAGCAATTAAACCTTGGAGCCATGATTTAATCCACTAAATGGTACATGTGGAGGCGGTGAGACCACAAGGATATTAAGCAGCTTCCTTTTATGATGGGTCTGCCATATTTAGTCCGCAGATAAGTAAGTCGACAGATCATCTGTTCTGAATGCTATCGATGACCCCATCATGTTTCAAGATGACCAGAAATTAATCCTGAAACAACTTAGCCAATACAAAAGAAAAAAAAAATATTATGTTTAAGTTTTATTTCTTTTGCAGGGGAGCAAGTGAAATCACTATAATTATAGGAGGACACCACATAAAAATTGAAATGACTTTTAAATTTAAAAAAAAATGATCATGCAAATTCTCAAGCTCAGTCCCTTATCACATCCAAGGTAAAACAAACATATGATCTGGCAGTTATGGTGTGAACAATATTAGGCGGTAACAGCTAACACAAGGACAGGAACATGACAGAGGCAGTGGGCAATCAGAATATATACAGATCTAAAATGATTTAAAATTTAAAACTGATAAGTAAAATCAAACATCCTTCTTGTCATATGTGAGCTTTACAATTCATGTTTCACTTCTTAATTTAAATTTGATATAGTATGCCTCTTACCTTGAACTGTTTTAGCACTTTTCCCAGTTTAGGCAATGGGTGTTGAAAATCTTTGTAATAGTACATCATTATCTGCAGAAGTTCAATCTGCTCCCTGAGGTTCTGTTTCAGCCATAATACAGCCTGTTCCTCAGTCTGTAATGGTATCATTTAGGACATGACAAGCTTGGCACAAGTGATTTCTACAGCAGAGCAACTAGTATGTAAGTCATACTTGCCCACAAAGGCACGTTACTTACATGTCTGACTACAGGTAATATGGACATTCAGAAAAAGTAACTTACCAGGGCTTGACGTTAACATTTACAATCACCTGTACTTCAAACAGGTGGTCATAAATTTGACCTGTCCAAATTTAAAACCAGTCCAGCCTGCTCAACAAAGTTGCTGGCTATGGGCCTGTTCATGTAAAATTATTCTTATCAACGCAAATCTTCACGTTTCTGTTTAGATACCAAATATCGACAGTAGGTCGGATATGTCGTAAAACACCTTTACATGGGCCATATAATGTTTGCTAGTAATATATATATATGGTTATGATTGTAACTGTATTATATTACATATGAGCAGGGATCGTCCTGGGTCAAAATCTGGTTGGGCCATTTTGGCCCACTTGGTCAAAAAAAGTGGGCCATTTTTAAAAAATGTGTGCCGTGAATTATTTAGAGAAAATTCATTATATTTCAATATTTTAATGTGATTAAAAACAATGAAACAAGGCAGCAAAGCTGTCAAATGTACAGACAAAAAACAGAAAATAAAGATATAAAAAAAGGTCATTTTGTCAATTTTGATGCAATAATAAATAATGCTTATAATAGCACTGTCAGTCAACACTGAATTTTAAAGTCATAATAACTCTTCGTTTTGGCCAAAAATTNTTATCGGTAAAAGTGCACGGTGACGACAGACGCAGATGATGGCTATATGTACAGACACATCTGTGTCTGTACATAATAAAAAGTAGATGGCAGGAGTATTTCGATGGTCTGCTCAACCCAAGAAATCAAGATAGCATATTGCACCAATTTCATCCAAGTTACCCAGAAGAAGAAAATCCAATAACTATAGAAGCAGAGCTAAGAAAAGCACTTAAGACAATCCCGAAAAATAAAGCTGCTGGGGTTGACGGCATCACAACTGAAGCCATTCTAGCCTGTAGTGAGATAGGAATCAGTTCGGTGACAAGTATATTCCAAAAAGCATGGTTAGAACAGAAGGTCCCAGACGACTGGCAACGTGCCATCGTTGTACCAATCTGGAAAAAGAAAGGAAGCAAGAAAGACTGCAACATGTATACAGGCATCTCCCTTTTGAGTCAAACAGGAAAAATATATGCAAAAATCTTGGAACAACGCATGAGGTACAAGGTAGAACCATTTCTGAGTGATGCACAGATGGCTTTTAGAAAAGGAAGAGGGTGCACAGACGCTATATTCACCCTAAGACAGTTGAGTGAGAAGGCAATAGAGTACAACAAAGAGCTAAACATAGTATTTGTAAACTCTTCACATCGGGAGGCGAGAAAAAGACAAAAGGACAAAGACAAGGAACCAAGAGGGTAGCATGTAGGTGTTTTTGAAAGTCACAACGTCGTGTAAGTAAAGTACAAGTTAAGTTAGTTTGTAAGTTTATTTGAAGCTCTAACATGTGATTGTGCACATGAGTATTACGTAACTCCCATGTGAAGTGACATTGGTACTATAATCAATATGTATTCATTACTGTATTATGTAGATATATTCATGTCACAGACTCGCAAATTTATTTACAGTAGACTTCTCTCAATGTCATCAAGTTATATCTCTTATTATTGTTTATCTCAAAGAAATCTTATAGAATGGACTTAGTCTTTGGTACTAGCTGCATAGATCACTCAGAATTCTTCCTTCAGAATGTAATTAATAAGAAAATGAAGTTGCTCAAAGAGCATAGATTAAGGACTAAAACGATAATAAGATTCCCAAATTTTGTCCATGTCTTTGCCTGTATGAATTCATGAAATATGGTTATTCACTGGAACTAGTATGTATAACAACAAAAACTCAATATATTATTTTTTTTTCAGACATGTTCATGTTTATGTGTATAATAAAGGCCATAAGAGAACAAAGTCATTGTGTTCTTTAGCAAGCACAGGTATGCCTAGGTAAAAAAGCGTCCATCGACTTCTGGTTGTTTTTTTTTTTTTTCGATTTTTTNAACAAAGTCATTGTGTTCTTTAGCAAGCACAGGTATGCCTAGGTAAAAAAGCGTCCATCGACTTCTGGTTGTTTTTTTTTTTTTTTCGATTTTTCCTCAAAAATTGACAGCCATATTGATAATTGCTCAATCCCTTGGAAGTAGAAACTGAGCTTATTTTACCCTTCTAGCCTATAATAAAAATTCACAGGAAAGAACATTGCAGGATTCGACTTTTGGACCTATGGGAGTGAGTGGATATTCGTCATTTTGTACTGTGCAATATCACTCACTGACGTCATCATCAGTCTCATAGATGTTCACAGTGAGTTTATGTTTTTTAAACGTATTTATGATGTCACATTTTGGAGGTGCCTCCTATCCAAAATTGACAAACACCTAATGGTCATTCATTGTGGAAAGTTTTCATGCCTTTATCAACTTTTGCACAATTCAAGAAAAAATTTGGGCTTGGCCACCTAACCAAATCTGCTTCACAAAAAAACTGTAATCCGCTTTTCCTCTTTGTCAATGGTATTTGCCAAAATTCTAATGTCTTTGTTCTTACAGAAATATTTCTTGACACACATAAATTAAACATTTCCTACAGTATAACAATCAAAGCTCTCCTCTTGTTCATATTTCTTTCTAATAAGAACAATGGTGTGCATGCTTAACAGAGAGTACAGTTGGTGAAAGGCTGTCATTATCAGTGTGAAGGCAAAGGGAATGGGTTTACTTGAAACATTCTAACACCCCATTTCCATAGATTAGATCGACCTACTTTAGATCGACCTAACTCCCTGGGGGTTCACGCTATATAGCTGTCAGCCGGGCGGACACGAAAGTTAATTACACCCTTACAGCTTGTAGTAGGCGGGACGGACATTTAAGTCGGATTATCTGAAAGTAATCTAGTGAGACTCCCCGCGGGGATAGATCGATCTAAAATCTATGGGAATAGAGCCTAATAGGATTAGCTGGACCTTGATATACTAGGTAGTGTGAATGAACCCATTCAGAACAAGATGATCAGTGGATCAAATATGGTCGACTCAGTAAAAGGGTAACACCTTATAATCCCCTGATCATCTCCCTGCCTCCACATACCGTGTTGGGGCCTAGCAATTAAACCTTGGAGCCATGATTTAATCCACTAAATGGTACATGTGGAGGTGGTGAGACCACAAGGATATTAAGCAGCTTCCTTTTATGATGGGTCTGCCATATTTAGTCCGCAGATAAGTAAGTCGACAGATCATCTGTTCTGAATGCTATCGATGACCCCATCATGTTTCAAGATGACCAGAAATTAATCCTGAAACAACTTAGCCAATACAAAAGAAAAAATATATATTATGTTTAAGTTTTATTTCTTTTGCAGGGGTACAAGTGAAATCACTATAATTATAGGAGGACACCACATAAAAATTGAAATGACTTTTTAATTAAAAAAAAATGATCATGCAAATTCTCAAGCTCAGTCCCTTATCACATCCAAGGTAAAACAAACATATGATCTGGCAGTTATGGTGTGAACAATATAAGTTGGTAACAGCTAACACAAGGACAGGAACATGACAGAGGCAGTGGGCAATCAGAATATATACAGATCTAAAATGATTTAAAATTTAAAACTGATAAGTAAAATCAAACATCCTTCTTGTCATATGTGAGCTTTACAATTCATGTTTCACTTCTTAATTTAAATTTGATATAGTATGCCTCTTACCTTGAACTGTTTTAGCACTTTTCCCAGTTTAGGCAATGGGTGTTGAAAATCTTTGTAATAGTACATCATTATCTGCAGAAGTTCAATCTGCTCCCTGAGGTTCTGTTTCAGCCATAATACAGCCTGTTCCTCAGTCTGTAATGGTATCATTTAGGACATGACAAGCTTGGCACAAGTGATTTCTACAGCAGAGCAACTAGTATGTAAGTCATACTTGCCCACAAAGGCACGTTACTTACATGTCTGACTACAGGTAACATGGACATTCAGAAAAAGTAACTTACCAGGGCTCGACATTAACATTTACAATCACCTGTACTTCAAACAGGTGGTCATAAATTTGACCTGTCCAAAATTAAAACCAGTACAGCCTGCTCAACAAAGTTGCTGGCTATGGGCCTGTTCATGTAAAATTATTCTTATCAACGCAAATCTTCACTTTTCTGTTTAGATACCAAATATCGACAGTAGGTCGGATATGTCGTAAAACACCTTTACATGGGCCATATAATGTTTGCTAGTAATAAAAAGTTTGGAAGAATACATAATTTATTTTCAAATTTGATTGAAAAAAAAAAAAAAAAAAATATATATATATATATATATATATATATATATATATATATATATATATATATGATTATGATTGTAACTGTATTATATTACATATGAGCAGGGATTGTCCTGGGTCAAAATCTGGTTGGGCCATTTTGGCCCACTTGGTCAAAAAAAGTGGGCCATTTTTAAAAAATGTGTGCCGTGAATTATTTAGAGAAAATTCATTATATTTCAATATTTTAATGTGATTAAAAACAATGAAAAAAGGCTTGATGCTACTACTCTAAGTCCTAAATAGTTGTAGTGTGTGGAAAAATCTTCCAAAATTAACAATTGTGCTGTCCGAAAAATTGAACTTAATGGATAAATCTTTCAGAATTAATAATTGCCGAACTATGCCGAATAATTGCACTGCATGGAAAAGGTTGACAATTCCCATTTTTATTGTAAAAAAAAGCCAGCAATTTCAAAAAGGAGGTTCTTTTTCTGAAAAAGTGGACCTTTTTCCATTAAAACATCATGTACCTAGATCAAATTTTACCCAGAGTGGACCTTTTCCCAGCAAAAGGGGCGGTTCTTTCGGACTCCCCTCCTCCCAGGCTACGGGCAAGAGTCTAAAAAGAATTTTTCTTCAAAATACTTGCTTTCTTTTTTAACCTGGGAGAAACCTGTCTCAATATATATATATATATATATACTCACATAAAATCTAGCAAGCAACTACATAACATTACAAAAATAAGTTAGCATACCTATTAATGAATTAAGTATTTGTGATTATTTACACTGCTGCAGGGCTTGACGCTTATTTTTCAGGTCACCTGTCTGGTCAGGCCTACTGCTAACAAGTTTCACCTGTCCCCAGATAATTTCCACTTGCACAGCCCCCCCAAAAAAAAGTTGTTTTTTTTTCAATATCTAAGCTTGTTCGTTTAGATAAATATAATGGACAGTTTTGCATCCTGACTGTGCCATTGCAGATTTTCCGCATTGAAAACGATGTTGTCCCTCATTTTGACATGCAGCACCGCTAAAGGTGCAATATCACATAAAATTTCCGTTAAAATTAGTTAAGAGCACCCATCTAAAAAACCATATTTGTTTACCCAGCACGTGTAGTTAAGTGTTCTCACCTGCGCGGCCAGTCGTAAGCAGTTTGAGCGACCTGTTTTCAGTGTCTTGAGCAGTACGTTTTTCATTGACCTGTATTTGTTTCAGTTTCTATATATTTTTTTGTAAAACGGCTCATATGTCAGCCCTCACAGCATCGGCACTCGCACTTCGAGTTACATCATAATGTATGTCGATCTTTATTGCAAAAAATTAGTGTTTGCTATTTGTACGCGCCAGTATGGCGCAGGATAAAATTTTACTTGCGCCTTTCAGAAAAGGGTCGCGCATTTGGCGCAATTGCGCGGCCCAGGATTATCCTTGTATGAGATACTGCCACCTGAGAAAAAAGGGACACTCTTGCAAAAAGCAACATAATTTTTCTAATCTCAATTTAGCTTTATGGCAATACTAACTGAAAATCAGTTTATTCAGATTTAGCTTACCATATAGTTCCCGTAGGTGTCCAATGAAGGAGCAGTAGTGGAACACACCATTTCATACTGGTCTAGTACCTACAGAACACGGAAAGGATGCTGAATTAATAATCCTTAAAAAGAGCTAAACATGTATAAGTCAATTAAAGGGCCGAGATTTGTCTCAAAAACAAAATGTGGCAGTACATGAAAAGTTTTGAAAAAAAAAAAAAAAAAGACTTTGGCAATTATTTTTCCAATGAAAAAATGACCCCTTACTTCTATGAATTGTGACCACAGTAAAAACGAGTTTTGGCCCGTTTTATTTCAGATGGGACATTTTGCTGCAACTTCAATTATTAGTTAGATATTTAAGATGCAGCCTTTTCCTCAGTTCCCAATAAATCTATATCCATAGAAGCATATTTGTATGTCAATCAAATAAGTATATTTTTGACTTTATGATCACACCTAGTTTGGTGACTTATGATCACACCCATTTTGCAATCCAAAAAAGAAAGAAAAAATTCAGTCAGGTGATCAAAGTCCCCTGATAATGGTTGAAAAACAGTTGAAATGCAACGTCTCATAGGTAGAACAATACTTCAGTTGGAATTGACTTTCTTACAACATTCAGATTCTGCAAAATCTACCAAAGGTTTATTTTCAATACATGAATATTCTAAAAAAAATATAAGCATATTCTATGGCAATGTTATAACATTGTTTAAATTACAATACAATTTACCCTGATCCAGATGTAAATACTTGTCTATAGTCTATGTAGTAATGTAGCTATAATGTCAGTATGTTGAATGAGCTTCGACAGAATGCTCAAACTTAAAAAATGAAGTAGATCCTTTATATTACTTACATTTTCAATGAGTGCGTTATCCTTATTAACATCCTCCAAAAAATCAAAGAAAACCTCCTGTAGCAAAAAAAAAAAAAAAAAAAAAATACTCAAATTTTAACATTAAACAAGGCAGCAAAGCTGTCAAAGGTACAGGCAAAAAGCAGAAAATAATGCACAAAATGGGATACTGTCAATTCTGATGCAATAACACATTATGCGTAACTGCAAAGTCAACATCAAATTTTAATTATGCACAAAAGGTAATAGCGATGAAATTTAAAGCATAAGGCAGGCTTCGATGCAGACAAAATTGGGAGCGGATTTTATTTAAAAAAGGAAAAATATCTAAGGACAAGTAAAAAACCCCGTATATTTCTCATGTTGCCGCTGCTTATGGAGCAGTCGCCCGTTTGGACCAGTTACTGAGATTGGCACTCGCCAATTCGTTTTAGCGGTCGCATTTGGCGACTGGCGACCGCCCATTTCCCTCCCTGCAGATTTTTAGTTGAATGTTGGATTAGGGAACCGTGTGACCATACTAGAGAGTGTGCAAACTACTCCCTTCAAAATCTTAAACTTTGGATGATTTTTTAACTCGTATCTAAAAATGAAAAAAATTCAGGCTGGCAACTTTTTTTCTCGCAATATAGTCCCACCCCTACGAGAGTCATTTTGAAACCGATTCTTTTTCATAAATTCAAAATCGTGAACATATTTCATTTTAATTTGTGGATGTTTCAGTAATCCTTTGAAATCTTGAGTAAGAGCATGAACTTTTCTTATTACATAACTTTTAAAAAAATGGCCCAAACATGCTGATTGTCGAACTAGACCTGTTTTATGAATATTCATTCAGTTCCATAAGTTTGCAGACAAAAGGTAAAACATTTTTCCACTTATCATGTTCTCGGTGAAAGTTCATGGCAGCAGCAACGACAGATGCTGGTGATGGTTTTATGTACAGCCACGTGTCTGTACATAAAAAAAGTAAACTATCATTAGACATGGCTTTGATATGAGTGAATACAAGTAAAAACAGGTCTACTTAAGCTGACATATGTAAGCTGACATATGTAACTTATATAAAGGAAAGCTTTTTCTTCCATTTCAAATTATTCACTGAAACTGTACTATGGTTGGACATTCCAGTTGTCAGACTTCTTGAGTTTCGCTGCCCCTCAACTTTACTGATATAGCACACAGTTTCATCATCTAACACTGCAGCCTATATACCAAGTATCATACCAACCTGATATCTGTATCCCTCATGCTGCCATTTACTAAGGATATGCTTTATACATCTGAGCAAGTAGAGTCGCTCACTGAAGTAGAAGTCCCTGGTTCTCAGCACTAATGCCCTCATGTGACGGTCTTCTCCCAACATGGTCTAAATTCCAAAAGATTTTCATTTGCTTGACTAGATATTCATTCATTCACAAATTCTCTGATTCCCCATTAATGCACAGCTTTCTCAAAGATTGATAATTTTTAACACTGTCAATGAAAACTATCAGTGTTTATCTTTTTTCACTGGTATGCTAAATGCTTAAATTCTTACAATCAACATAGATCTGGAAATATACTGGAAATTAATAGTTTCACAAAGTGAGTAAAAGTAATACCAATCAAATGTAATAATCTGTCATTCAACATTAAAAAGGAAATTGTCAGTGAACCTGTAGATCCTTTTGAGATCCTCTGTAATCATGCTGTAAATACAATCTGTATATGTCATATGTGATGATCTCATCCAAACCCTGAAACAATAAAGACATCCTAAGTGGCATGAGTTACCAACAGGTGACTAGTAAGTGAATTCATATGTAAGAATAACATATATTTGCAACATTGTAATTCGATAATGTATATGAAATACTGCAAGTACCACATTTGTCCCAGCTTTTATTCTTTTTAAAGTGAAGAACATGTGATTCTGAGAGAGTTAGTAACAGAAATATGCTGAATTATTCAAACTACTCACTCATATCAACCAAATATATTTTACACTTATGGCATTTCTACACCAACTGAAGTGAAGTCTTGATGGTTAACTGGCCATCTATGTCATACACATTAATCAAATTACATGTCATTGCATCAAATGTTGCATACACCTAGTGACCTTTGAATTCAGTTTTTATATCTAAATGATTGAAACATTTGAATTGGCATCAAACAGCATATTTTGGGGAAAATGGAGGACTCGAAACTGGCACCTGTCCGAGACAGTTAAAAATTGATATCAGACAGGTAAAGTTGCAGAGTTGTCTGTCCCACAGACAGGTCATAAGTATTTGGACATTAAAAATTGTCAAAGGATGCCAAAATCAAATTTGCTCTAGGGCAACATGAGACCCTGGATAAAAAAATCTTCATAGAAGCAACGGTAATGAAAACTGGTGGTGTATTTCCTAATGACCCACAACAGTTGGTGCAGTTCATGGTCTGACCATGTTTCATAAGTTATCTATATTCCTCCATCCCAAAATACAGCAAATCTCCTTACCAGAAACTGGCTCAATTTCTTCACAGCTTCCTTTTGCTCTGCTCTTATTTGGTGCTTTAGTTCTTTCTCCAACAACTCACCACTTGGATTGCTGTTGAGAAAACAAACAAAAAGTAGTTAACACTTTGGCATCACAAATCTAAATATATAACTACCTACAGCAGTACAAAATCGTTATGGACTGTGACAGATCCAGATCCCAATCAAGTCCAGTGATTAACAGGCTAAGCCAGATCCCTATTGGTTCCTTGCATTGTTAACAGTATAATGAGCATATTTTGTATAACATCCACAATTTAATTACACATATCATACAAACAAACTGGCAGCTCACTTGCAAATTACTTGGCCAATTAATATGCTCATTATGATTGTAACAATGCAAAGTCTCAATTGGGATGTGACCTAGTCTGGTTAGTAACTGGACTAGATTGGGATCTGAATTGAGACACATATACTGTTATCGTGTTATCTGTTTTTTATTTACAGTTCTTGGTGAAATAATTCTGTTTGGTCACACTTGAAACACTATTTTCTGCAAGCCTGGCATTGTGACTCATTATAATTGTAGCATGTTGCATGTATGCTTTGGGAGGAAGAGCCATCTCTGCTCTCTCAACATTCCACAACTGTGTTAAGGATATTGTCATCCTTTACCCAAAACTCCTTATTTGCAGCCTTACATACATTCTTTTGGGTAATAGATCAATCTTCAGTGTTCAGTGACTAAATTAATTTAAGGTACATATGAACCAAGGATCATTGGAGCGTGGATTCCCAGTAACATATATAAACCACTTCTACTAGTTTCTTATACGACTTAAATAAATTAGACATGCCAACGGACAAACTTAATAAATGACTCTATCAGCCATAAAAGAGCTTTAGACTGCTCCTTTCTTTAAATTCTTGGTCAGAAATTTAACCTACTTTCATGACCTACTTTTCTGCCTCATTTATATACAGCATAGAATGCTTGCAGAAAAATCTGTTCAAATATCATTTTTGGGTAAAATTAAACAATATCTTTTGGTAATTTTCTTAGTTATACTACTTGAAACTGTATGCTGGCATTTAGTTGGCTTTTGTGGCAAAAAATTGATTTCATATGCATCTTTAACACTTACATGTCATCTTATCATATGGGTGACGCATAATTGCTATTTTGGGGTAAAAACTGAAAAAGATGAAAAGTGTTCAATTGACTATACAAGCTTTGACTTGCTTATGCTTCTATGTTGCAATAAGAATTATAAACACTGATATTTAACATTTTCGAGGGTTTTTCATTGTTTTAAATCAGCACAAAGATAGATGGATTATTGAATGATCAGATGCAGGAAAAACTTCATTTTTGGTATCTGGATGATAATAAAGGGTTACAATATCCTTAATGTCACCCAAATCATGACCTACAGCAATAGGGCATTTTCAATTGCAGCGCCCATTTTATGGACTACCCTCACACATTCAGACTACAGACAGTGTTAAGGTTTTTAAAAAAGACTTGAAAACATTCTTTTTTGCACAGTACTTCAATTAATTTTAATACTTGAAATTATACATTTTCTTATTTTATCATAAAAAGTTTTATTATTTAGACTATTACTTTTGTAACCAGCATTAATCATTTAAATTGTTTTATTCAACTCATCTTCTGTAATTCTGATAATTTTATTTGTAAACAGCACTGAGATGGAAGTGTAGTGCGGTTTGCAAGAAATAAATATTATTATTATTATTAAATATTTAACTAGCCTGTGCTTCACCTAACTCTTAGGCTCTTACCAGCTAGCGTTTTCTTCTAAAATATCTTTCTTTTATGTTTAGGAAATCATGTGAAATCTTTTGAAACCAGAGAATGTAAAATTTTATCTTTGCCTTTTACAAAATGACACCAAAAGATATTTAAGCTTATTTTCATTAGGGTGGCAACCACATCTCAATGCAGCACTTCTGCCTGATGTGGACACAATGGAAAGGCTTTTTAAAATCACTCCACTAAGAATAACCTTTTTGCCGCTTTAGGAATCCTCTGACTGTCTGTACTCATCTCATTTAACAGCCTTACCTGTAGCATCAGTGGCAACAGATGCATTTCTAGCTTTATTCAAATTTTGAGTTAACACCCTCAACAGAACCATTTGAGCCAGCATCTCATCCAATCAAATATATACAAAAAACAACGTCAGCAAATTTTAAAGTAAATCTGTATTTTAGTCCTATAATCATACTAGAGCAATTTTCATTTAATATCACATTTAAAAAATAAAAGAAAACAAGNGTGCCACACCCAGACCCCAATACCGACAAAGCCCAAATTTTACGTGGAACGAGTTGAGATTATAGGTGACCTAAATCCATGAGATGGGTACGGGGGCCCTTACCGTCTAGGAGGAGAAGCGGTAACGGTAGCCGTCCGGCGGAGCCGGCGGAGCCAACGGAGCCGGCGGAACGATCCGGACGGGACCGAAACCATGTGTACCGCCAGCGCTAACGCTGGTGGTACAATAAAGGGTTACAATATCCTTAATGTCACCCAAATCATGACCTACAGCAATAGGGCATTTTCAGTTGCAGCGCCCACTTTATGGACTACCCTCACACATTCAGACTACAGACAGTGTTAAGGTTTTTAAAAAAGACTTGAAAACATTCTTTTTTGCACAGTACTTCAATTAATTTTAATACTTGAAATTATACATTTTCTTATTTTATCATAAAAAGTTTTATTATTTAGACTATTACTTTTGTAACCAGCATTAATCATTTTAATTGTTTTATTCAACTCAGCTTCTGTAATTCTGATAATTTTATTTGTAAACAGCACTGAGATGGAAGTGTAGTGCGGTTTGCAAAAAATAAATATTATTATTATTATTAAATATTTAACTAGCCTGTGCTTCACCTAACTCTTAGGCTCTTACCAGCTAGCGTTTTCTTCTAAAATATCTTTCTTTTATGTTTAGGAAATCATGTGAAATCTTTTGAAACCAGAGCATGTAAAATTTTATCTTTGCCTTTTACAAAATGACACCAAAAGATATTTTAGCTTATTTTCATTAGGGTGGCAACCACATCTCAATGCAGCACTTCTGCCTGATGTGGACACAATGGAAAGGCTTTTTAAAATCACTCCACTAAGAATAACCTTTTTGCCGCTTTAGGAATCCTCTGACTGTCTGTACTCATCTCATTTAACAGCCTTACCTGTAGCATCAGTGGCAACAGATGCATTTCTAGCTTTATTCAAATTTTGAGTTAACACCCTCAACTCTAAGCTGAATCCTGGGACACAAATTACACTGACAGCATGGGCAGACAGAAATAAGAACAAGTACAGACACAAGTACAATGCCTGCATACTCTGAAGTGCCAAATAAACGTGCCGGCACGTTTATTTTTTTCCGGAAATTTTCCACCCGGCACGATCTTATTCTCCCCGGTGTCACGTGTACGGTCCGTTCTGCGTGAACCATCCGTCCTGACCGATTGTACACGCAGCAGACGCGTGTATGAGCCGTTCCGTGAATGATCCGTTGTTATTCACCTGTACTATTATATTCGGCTAGTTCATTTCCTACCACATTATACATTTACTATGATGGGGATAAAATTCATGTGTTAATTGATAATTTTAATAGGGAATCAGCGTCAAATTACAGTTTGATGCATGGATAAACCTACCGTGGACGGGACGTCATTTTCAGCTGCAGGCTACTATTTTAGTATTGATTTTACTAGGCTAGTGTGTTGATATGGCCACCTGAGGGAAATCGCAGTGGAGGAGAACATCTATAAGATTTGAAAACTGCTAAAGATTGTGTTTGAATTTGCAGTATGTTCTCAACAGCGCATGATTATTAAAGTCTAAGAATGTATTCATGACTCTATAGTGACGGACTGTACACGCCGGAAGTCTCTCAGATTTGCCTGCGCTTTGTGCGCATGAGCAGAACGGATTGTTCACGCTCCGAGCAGTACACGCCACACCGGCACGATTAATAATTTTCCACACGGCACGGTTATTTGGCAGTCACTGTGCCGGTTGGAAATATTTTGATCGTTTCGGAAATGTTGATGATCGTTTCATTGGACAAGTTAATAATTATTAATGACCTGTCGCAAGCACTACACTCGAACTTGTTTTTAGCGTAAATAAAAGCCAGTGTTTCTCCAGCATATAAAGAGCGAGGCGCCGCGCTGAAATTTGTCAAAAGCACCGACTCGCTGGGCTGAATGGAACAAAAAAGTATATTTTCACTCATGCTAACTGAAATTTATATTTATTTCTAAGCAAATATGGCATTCTATTTACATACTGTACGTAATCCCATGCTTCTGAGCACTTGATTTAGTAGTAACGAAAATACGCATGCGCGTATGCCATCTCCCTGTGAGTGCCTCGTTTTCGCAGTTCTGTGCTTAATTTGAAGTATACGAGACAGAGCGAAACGAGGCAACTGCTCTCGACAACATTTAGTCACATGTCACAAATACACTTTCTCTGTCACTTCGTCATGTTCCGAAATTAAGACCGCCTGTTGTGTGTTTTTATAGTTTACGTTTATTCACTGATAAAAATGGAGAAAATTAAGTGCACTTTGTTGATTTTATAAATTTGGAGAAGATTTTCTACTGATTTACGGGTTAGTTTTGTGAAAGCAGTAGCGTTGTAAAACTGGGTCACGTCAGTAATTCGCGTGCATTGAATATGAATTTCCATGACTGAATAGAATCATATAAATGAACAAACGAAGAACTAAAATTGGTGATAAGTGTGATTTTAATCTCTTAAATTCTGAAAAATTCATTTCACGGTGTTTGAAGTTGTTGATTATAAA